GCTCAGCCCACCAGGGGGCAGGGCTGGCTGGCATGTGGTGCTGGGGGATTGAACCGCGGTCCCTGTGCTTTGCTTAGCTTGTTCTAAGTGGGTGCTTTAGACCACTGAGCCATCTCACCAGCCATAGTTAAGTAAACTTAAAATGGTATTATCCACAGCCATAATTTAAAAAATTAGACTTCTTTTTTCTGGGGTTTTGGGCTCAGTTTTCTATATTTATATGAGTAAATGATCTGGAAGTATATTTTCACTGACACAAAACAGAAATTTTCAAACTAAAGCTGATTTCTTCCTTAAAACCTACCTTATTTTCTCCATCTAGAAGCAATAAACAGTTGTATATTCCAGAAGTTCTCTTAGGTTCTTTTTTAAAGACCAAGTTCTACCTATGTTAATGGCATATGAATTTTACCGTCCCAACTATACTTTGTGTGTATGTTGAAGGTAAACTTTCTTGTTTAGCTTTATATCTGTCATTGACCCAATCTAAATGGAGTGACTTGTATATAGTAGTAGCTGCTTAATAAAATATATCATTGAGGAAAGCTTTAAATGGTTGATACCACATAATATTTTAATGTAATTAGCTATGACTGAAAATTACTTTTAATACATAAATTTTAAACATAAATTGTTTAAATTTCCTGTTATGGGAGAAGAGTTCCAGTGGCCAATTGTTAAGTTTCTGATAAAGGGGTGCTGTGGCTTTCCAGGTTATAAAGGAATACTAGTTTAATTTAGAACTCAGAATGCATTCTCTCATACCTATCCATAAAATTTAGTGCACATATCAGTTTCATTGTAGTGATACAAATTAATGATTCTTTTGAGAGTCACTGATCTTGTTGAGAATCTATTTAAGGCTATTCTCTTCCTACCCAAACACCAGAAAAATGCACATATTCTTTATACTGTTTTTGAGAGTTCATAAACTTCGTGTTAAGAACTTTTGCTTTAGCCAGGGGGATAGCTCAGTAGAATAAGCGTCAGCCTGGCAAGCTCAGGGTCCTGAGTTCAATCCCTGGTGCCACCAAAAAAAGAAAAAAGGAAAAAAAAAAAAAAAAAACTTTTGCTTCACATTCTAATATTCTGATAGAGGTTGCATCTCACTGGTCAAGAAGCAGCATGATACAGTAGAAAAATGTACTATATATGAAACAAGTTGATCTGAGCTCTGGTTTTTTTGTATATTTAATAAATATAATGTCATTTGGAAAGTCATGTAACCTCTTCTTGCATATAAAGTTGTTGGATTAAAGAGTAAACAAATTAGGATTTATGCTATAGTTAGAATAATACTGGATACATAGTATACTTCCCAACTTTGTGCCCAGTCTTTAATTCCACTGTCTTATAAAGGGTTTTTAAATTTTGTAGTAATGCCTTTTGTCTATTTTTCCTTTAAGAAAATTGTGTATTTGTATATTTTTCATATATATTTCTATATACCTTTTTGGTCTTTTTTTTTTTCTCTTTTTTGAGACAAGGTTTCACTATGCAGTTCGGGCTAGCCTTGAACTCACTTTGTAGCCCAGGTTGAACCTGAATTTACATAAATCCTCCTGAATGCTGGAATTAAACAATTAATTTATTCTGTTCTCCTACATGGAAAGTTGTAAGCTGTGTCCATAAGTGATGCACAAAACAGCCATCTTATTGCAATGCTGTAACTGAATCCTAAGTCAGAAGAAATTGTATCTGTGAGTATATAAAAATAACTGGAGAAAGGACAGTCAGAAAATCTACTTCAAGATGTATATTGGTGTATTCATGAAGTTTATTAAAGCAAATGAAGTTTTTTCTTATAATTACAGTTGCTAAGGACCTTGATCTTTTTGAAGGTTGGATATATTATATCTATAAAAGTCTATTATTCTTTATGTAAATTGTTTACAAAAACAAGATTCTGTGAATGTATGTGTCAGCAGCAAACAGGTTGTGATAAAAATATGTAACATTCATGCATTATGTAGTAAGATAAACAGGGTTTTTTTTTTTTTTTAATTAGGGAAGAAGACAAAGACATATTTGATTACTGCAGGGAAAACAACATTGACCATATAACCAAAGCCATTCAATCAAAAAGTGTGGATGTGAATATGAAAGATGAAGAGGTATGAAAAACATGCCCCATTAATTATTTTCATTTCTGATGACTGGATACTATGGCCTTGTAGCATTATAAAATATATTAGTTTAATTTCTTTTATGCTTTGTTGTTCTGCCCTGCCTTTTTGTAAATGGTGAGCCTTTGAACTACTGCTCAAAGTACAGTATGGTTAAAAGCATATTGGAATATGTCACCCAGGTAAAATACTTTCTCTGTCTAAATATAACATATCTCTGAGCCACGTATAGTAGCAAATGCCTGTAATCTTGGCTGAGACAGGAGGATTACAGTGAGTTTGAGGCCATCCTAGACTGTACAGTGTGTTCAGAGCCACTGAATACATAGCAGAACCCTTTCTGGAAAACAAAACAATAAAAAGTTTAACATATTTCTAGTCAGGGTAGTAGAGATTACTACTGAAATTTGGCATATCCAAATAACTTCCGTTTATTTAGGATAAAGGGATAGACTTGACATAATAACTAAAATCTGCAGGTGATAGCAAAAGTCTCATTTATATGGAACTCTACATCTTCTATCTTTATAAATGGGTGTATTTTTTGTTCAGCAATTAATTTTTAAAAATCTATGTGAAGGGGTGCCAGGAGATGGCTCAGTAGAATAAGCGCTTCCCTGGTAAGCGCAAGGGCCTGAATTCAATCCCC